GCGCCTGCGGACTGAAAGGTCCCAGGTTCGATTCCGGTCAAGGGCATGTACCTGGGTTGCGGGCACTTCCCCAGTGGGGGATGTGCAGGAGGCAGCTGATCGATGTTTCTCTCTCATCGATGTTTCTAACTCTCTATCTCTCTCCCTTCCTCTCTGTAAAAAATCAATAAAATATATTTTAAAAAAAATGTCAAGACTCTCCAGAGTGGGCCTGGGAGGGTTGCCCAATCACCCCCCATGCCAACAAAGGGCCCAGGGGGTGAAACTGGGTACACCAGCCACCCTTCTGGCCTCGGGAGGGCTGCCATGGCCGCCACCGGGCCACTCAGTCAACAAAGACCCCGGCCCAGGGCACCCTGCTCAGAAGGGGGTTCCACCCACAGCCCCCCTCACTCCGAGCTGGCTTCTCCCTATAGACTCCGTCCCAGCGTCCATCCCTGTGATGTCCCAGGCCTGAGAGCAAAGCCCGGGCGGCCACTGCTGCCAGGGGCCCTGGGAGTCTGGTCTGTAGAGCAGGACGGAGGCCCTTCGGCCCCTCCTGAGCCCGGTACCCTTCTGTGCACTTGACCCGCATCTTGTCATCGAACCCTCCCCACTTCCCCGAGGTGGGACGACCATTATGCCCATTTAACAGATGAGAAAACTGAGGCTCAGAGAGGGGCACCACCACCCAGAGTCCCAGTCAGTCTCTCAGCGACCACCCACTGGGCCACCTCTGGTGTCCCAGGGACCGTGTGACATGAAGCCACTAAGCCTTTCACCCCGGCCTGACACTCAGAAACTGGGCAAACAGGGCTGGGCGTGGCCTCACGGCAGAATCTTTTTCTTTATTTCAAACAGAGTCTGGGTCGGGGGTGGGGGAGGGGAGCGGGGGATACTCAGGAAGAACGGGAACATGAGGAGCCAGGGAGGGTGCTCTCCCTCACCCGGGATGTCCCTATTCCTTGTCCAGGCGGGGCCCAACCCAGTTCCCACTCACAGGGTCAGGCAGGGCAGCCGCTGAGAGCCCGGGGCAGGGAGGAGGGAGGTAGCCTCCCTGTGCCCCTCGGGGGCTGTGTCCCCAGCGTGCTCTCCCTCACCCGGGATGTCCCTATTCCTTGTCCAGGCGGGGCCCAACCCAGTTCCCACTCACAGGGTCAGGCAGGGCAGCCGCTGAGAGCCCGGGGCAGGGAGGAGGGAGGTAGCCTCCCTGTGCCCTGGGGGGGCGGTGTCCCCAGCACCCCAGGGCCCCCGCAGGCGTCCAGTGTTAGAATGCTGTGGGGTGGGCGTGGACAAGAGGTAGAATGACCGTCACCCTGCACAGCATCGCCGAGTGCTGGTTCGGGGGCCCTGGTGCCGGCAGCTGCGTCTCCTGGGTCTCCGGTTCCTCTGGTGGTCGGGGGTGGGGGCCTCACTGGAGGGCCTCGGCGGCGATGGCCTTCTCCACCCGCAGGTACCAGGGCTGGATGCGGGTGTGTCGCATCAGGTCGTCGAAGGCCTCCAGGCCCTCCATCACGCGCAGCACACCATACACCGCCTGGGTGGGCACAGAGGGCATCCAGACCTGCCCGCCACCTGCCCGCTGCGTGCCCTGGGGCCCGCTCCCCGAGCTCCACAACCCACTGCAGGGCTCACTGGCCACGGGGCTTTGAACAAAGCAGGGGGTAACTGTAGGTTTGGCCTGCCCCCCACACACATCCCGCTTTTGGACAACACCCCCCACCAGAGTTTTCTTTGAGAAAACGCCTCCCCGACACTCAGATCCTGGGACCTCTCCCACAGCGCTGGGCCTGCCAATCAATGTTTCACGCTGGCTACAGGGATGCTTCACCGTGGACGTGGAAGCCAGGGCTTTTGCTGGGGGAGCCTGGGGCACTGGACAAAGGCTGGCCTTGGGCTGAGGTCACCTCCAAGGAGTTGGAATGCAACAGGGCACTGAGCCCCGGTAACACCACTTGGGCCCCGGGATCCAGCTAGGCCTGAAGCCAACCCCTCCATTACACTCGTCAGTTACGGGAACCAAGACGGTTCCTTGTAGCTGGTCTTCCTTACGCCCCTGGTAACATGGAGCCGGTGCCTCCGATGTGAGGGAGCTGGAGAGGTAGCACTGCCTACATCCGGGCGCTCCCTGCCTGGGCTTCCCCGACCCACAGACGGGACCCTCAGTCTGCGCACCCCCTCCCCACCACCACACTCACCAGATCAGCCAGGTTGGGCTTCTGGCCCCCCATGAAGGGCCGGTCTTTGCCCACAGCTGCCACCCACTTGTTGGCAGCCTCGTATAGGTCCTCACGCACATCATCCTGGAGGTGGTGCCTGGGCAGGGATGGGGGTGGTCCATCAGGGAACGCCAACCCAGGCCCGGGTGAGGCCAATGAAAAGGCCATCACGCACGCGCACACACATGCACCATCACCTGCTCTTGAGCCGCTTGCTGATGAAGTACATGGCAGCTGCGCCCACGTACTTGGCCATGGCGCCCTCCACTGCCCCGAACCTGCCCTCGCGGACAATGTAGTCGAAGGAAGCCAGGGCCTCGGCGGGCGTGCGGTACACGTTTGGGGAGATGAGGTGCA